TTCTGGTTTAAAAAGATGCTCCCAGAATTCCTAAAAGCAATTACCAATCACACTGCATATCTGATACCACTGGGTTTCTTTAATACTTTGTTCACATAAGTTTTAAATTTATAATAACATGAAAGTCTTACCTGCAAACACTTTTGCACTTCCAGTATTAACTTTTGGCACCACTTTCTTCTGGAAACCAAAAGACAATCCAGCCCCTCCACCTTGTTTGGTCATGGAGAAAGCAAGCAGCCGCTTCTTGGCTTGGGCCTTCCCAAGTACAGTTGTTTTCGGTGCAAATGAATGGGCACGAGGTGGTTCTGATTTTGGAGGAGGAGGAGTGACTGGAATATCATCTTCAGCAGTTGCACGGCTTGGTGAATATCTGCAGTGATTCATACTAATAATGAATTCAGTTACATGCACATTTAATAATTTGCAAAATTCATGATCTCATACACCAACCTGTTTGGGTCATCTGCTTGGTCAATATTTGCTTCTGATGTCTGCGGAAGTGGTGGAGCTTCTGGTGGTAAGACTGGAGCTGCAATTGGCTGTGCAGTTGGTGGAAATGCAGTTGTGTTGAACTGCATACCACATGATGGAAGAGGAATGTTATCACATTGTGGAAATGCAGATGTAACTTGCTTATCAGGCAGTCCAGGGGGCTGAGATTCCTCTGGTAGGGGGATATCCATAATAATTCACTTGATATACCTCTACAAACACGAATAACCGGGAATCAGTAGTGAACTTAAAAATACGATTATAACTTTACAAATACAATCCACGACAGTAAATTTAACTCATTTTCAAAAAGAACTTACATATTACGATATTCTTGGCATTACATATAAGCTTATTACGGTTCAAATCAGCAGTTTACCGACACCCATCACCTTTGATAAAACCTTGAAGCAGCGGGTCGTGACACGAAAAATACTGTACATAAAGAATCATTATACAAATTACATGGCTCAGTACAACACACTGTTCTCTATTTCGACAGAACTGTTGAATTGACTAATGTAAACCCGTTCAACTGGTTACTTTATTTATCTCGTCATTGTAAACAAGAAACAACTTTACGTAGTAAGCATACCAAAGCAACAAACTGCACTTGTATGTTGGCACTATGATGCACAGATGAACATTTTGTTGCATATACACTGCCATCTGGCGATATACATTGAGAATTACAACTATTTGGAGGAGAAAGCTGTTTTCAGAAGCTGGTTGAATAGGACCCGTGCTGCAAATTAGAGTATGATAACCACATTAAACAATAATTTTCCTTTTTTACTTATCTTAAAAATATAGCATTGTGTTTTTGCTGATAACAGACTGTTAATATGACTAAAAATAAAATTAGGATGTAACAGTTATCAATGGCACAGATTACGGAAACATGTTGGTTCTTCTTAGAACCACAGATTACCATAATATTTTTTAGTGTTATGTAAGCCACTACTGACCCATGGCTATTGGAAGAATGCCACGTTTATTCGTATTCTTTACACTTTGAGTGAACAAAACACCTCATGAGCCCATTCATGCCTTCATGTTTAACAGTTTGTCGCGTCCACAGGAAATTCGCGTCATTCAGCCCTGGTCGTGCTTCCATCTATCGGAGCCTTATGAACTACAAATAATTCAGGAATGGAATTGTATAAAATTTTGTACGGAGGTTATGCATTTTGCAGCCGAGACCACAGTAACACAAAATTATAATTTCCTACAATTGGTGATACCAACATTACGAATGCTTAAAGTCATGATGTGGGACGATGACTCAACCACTAATCCGTAATTGTCTGCGCATGCGTTATTACGTCAAAGCACTTAATGACAACTGCAAGGATTTGATTATGTGAAACGTGTTTCAGTTGAGTTTCTAGTCTCGGAAAGAACTGTTTCAAACCAAGGAGAAACAGTTCAATAACAACTTGACAAATGTGTATTACTACTCAACTCTGGTTTATTGGAACATATGAAAATAACTGTTTTCCCGCTGTATTATCATCATTCTCCTGAAAGACTATTTAATTAGTCTTTCTCAACAAAATTTCTTTTGTGAACGTAGATGATGAGTTGCGTAATAATGGACACAGTAAGAGCTATCAATAAAATAATTTAAAAAACTATAATTTTAATTATGAAAATTCGCATTTCAAGGTGGCCCACATTAAGGTTTGTGTGTTTCAACGTAACCCATTATCTGAAAAGGTTGCACACCCTGATATACATGGTCACCTTGGTTGCTTGACCTTAATTATGTCTATTTACACGAATAAACAATGCCTTCTAAGATAAAGAGAATGACTTTCACAATAATGCCGGATTCACGATATACTGATACAAACAACGAGTTACAGGTGTCTAAGATGACGTGTTTCTCTTCGTCCCTGTTATATTAGCAATAAAGAACATTAAAATTAAAAATGGCCAGTCACAGCGGTCACGTGATCTAAGGTGTGGGTCTTAACAGCTCAAACATTGGAATCATGGGTTCAAATCCTATTTGAGACATGGGTGTGTGTGGCCGTCTTTTCTGTGTTGTGCTGTCCTCTGCAGGATGCCTTCGGCTGAACACCCGACCAAGGAGTTACTTCAAATGGATTCATAACCTCATCAGTAATAATTACTTATGAGATTATGAATTATTCTCAACTGGAAGAGGGTACAAGTTCGAATCTGTAAAAGCTAAATAAGAAAACTTAAAAATGAAATATAACACTGAATGCCAAAACATTAAACTTTTTATTCTTGATCATATCTGCTCAACTGACCGAGAAGATATGAAATAAAAACAGACCTCTTCCTATTCATGTTTCTGTAATGTCTAATGAAGTGAGAAGATGGTCTTGAAAAGTAAGGACTTGGAAGGACGTGGTCCCGACCAATCAAAAGTAACATTCTCTTGAAAAGACCAGGAAATCCAGAGTCGGGTCTAGACCGTTACTGCTACATTAACCTCCTCGGTAATTTATGATTTGAGTACCATTTGTTCTAGGTTATTTAGTGTTACATCTGTGATGTCTACCAGTGGCTGTTAATATTATTGTGACTGTCCAGTCGGGAGAGACAGCCAACCCATCTACTACCCTAAAAATACTTTGGAGGAGTATGCAAGTCTGGGACCTGATCCATTTACGATACGGTATTCTTCTTGAAAAGGACAGCATATGACGTATGCGACTGATTCAGTATTCCGTTGACCCTTTCATGGACGAACCGTTTGATTGTGATGTGTTCTAATTTTGTGGCTGGAAGAGACGTACAATGCCACAGTGCACCAATTGGCCCTCAATGTCTTAACGATTGCCAAATGGAACAAGAACTTTTGCGTTTAACTGTGTTGTTTGTCACACCCATACACAAAGCTACTTTTAATTCTACATTTCTTTAAGAAACTTGTTTATATGTATTTTGTTGTAATTGTGTAGTGTAAGGACCACTGCCACCTGGTGCAAACCCAATTGCAGTAAATAAATAAATAATAATAATAATAAAAAACTATTCGTTTTGTAAGTACAAGCCTTCTTTGGCGAGGTTAATGGTTGATTTAAGACCGATAATATATGAACTTTCGGACTGTTACAATTCCAGAACTTATGACACCTACTACCTTCTAAATTGAGAAGTGTACAATTAATTGACGTACTTTAGTGCATAATTTTCTTTAATGTATCGATTTCCTGAACCGGTACATGACGCTTGTCAGGCATGACATCAAAAGCTACCGAAAATCGCAGCTGAGTCGTTGCCTTGTATTCAGTAGGCACTGGGTTCAATTCGCCGATCAGCGGCTGGTTTGTATTTTTGTGACATTTATATGACTTGTATTTGTATAACATGTATTGTATTATTATGACTTATTCTACATCCTATTGTCATCTGACTAACTTATGGATCCATGGAATGTAATAAAGATGTATGTATGTATGTATTCTCAGAATATTCCGTTTTACGCAGCTTACTGATTAAGACAGCAGCAAGTGAACATTCACAAACTGAAAATCTAGAGGCGATAACACGCGTTCTCCGTACATGTAACATATTATTTGTTAATGTTGTTTTTAAATACTGGAACGTTTTCAAATTAAATCTTTCCTTTAAAATTAGATGCCACACATCAGGTCTACATGGCGGATCCGGAAACAGTATTGATACTCTTCACATTCTGTAGTCGTAAACCTATGAACGAAATTAAAGGCTACAGTTATGTCATTGTTTGAAGTAACAAAATGCTGTACGACCATCGATACACTGTGACCGACTCTGTTTGTCTGAATGACAAACAGCAGCGTAAGTAGGCCACGTTCATGAGTGTCAAGTGCGGCAAGCAAAAGCTTTACGTTCTGGAAAGAGGAAGGAACAGAAATGTCCAGTTAATCGACTGAAACGTGTGTGAATGTGATGGCCGAGTGACGTAACTTCCGCTGTGTGTATGGAGGACACTCACCTCTCTGTCCCGTGGCCTAGGAGATTAATCCTTGACTTGTGTTTACAGTATCCGTGTTTCTCCTGACCCCCATACAGTCTACAAATAATCGATATTCCTTGACCAATCACTGGTCTTGGGTTTGGATGTCAGGGTCTCCTACACGTGACTCGCTGTGGGAATCCCACTTCACAAGAGTCAGTTCAGGGCTCAAGATACAGTGTTACGACATTAAATATGTAGAACCTGCATTTATTTTTAAAACTGCTGGACTTTATTCGCTTATTTGATACGACTATACTATAAACGCCTAGAGACAATGTAATACGTACAAAGTAAGGTCAAGTTTCCCCTGCGTTCAAGAACCACGTCATGAAGGCGTATACGAGGTGGAGGTAACATTCCTCGTTTTGTTTTAGGCCGCTTTATTTTCGACGATACTTCGTTTTATTGCGCTTCGCAGATATTGAGTTTTTTTTACAAATTGAAGGTTTGTGGTAATCCTGCGACGAGCAAGTCTATCGGCGCCATTTTTCCAACAGCATGTGCTCACTTCGTGTCTCTGTGTCACATTTTGGTATTTCTCGCATTGTTTTTTTAGACATAATGCTGTTCCACACTAATAGACTACAGTATAATGCAAACATAACTTTTATATGCACTGGGAAACCAAAAAAATTAATGTGACTCGCTTTATTGCGGCGATCTGGAACCGAACCCGCAATATCTCCGAGGTATACCTGCATAATAAGTCAGCCCTGAAATTCAGTTATCTACTCATACTACAACCTTCGTACAGACCGGCAGTTGTGTGTGATTTATAAACGGCATGTTTTCACATCCAATTACGCAATCATGTC